CAGGGATGCTCCTGCGCTCCCGGACGGCCTCGGGCCCAGCCACCTGCTCGCCGGGGAAGGTAGGTCCGGGGAAGGAGGGGCGGGGAGTAGGCGAGGCCGCGGGAGGGACCCATGCCCAACCCCAGGGAACCTCACCGAGTTCCTCCCCGGGGTCCGAGTCCCAAACTCTGGGAAGAGGTGGGAAGTACTCCCCATCAGCCCTCATACCAGAAAAAGCGAAGTTCAAGAAACCTGTCCTTGTACACGTGGCCTTGTGGCTGAGAAATACCTGGGTAAGCGCTTAGGGCCAGGCCCCCAAGACCAGGGCAGTGTTCAGAGCAGGAAAGCCGGTGTCTGCCCCAGCAGAGCTGCCTCCCCTCTCCCGATCCCGGGACCTCGCCCGCTCCCGGGGCTGGCTGCCTGCGTGGAGGGGCGGCCTGAATTCTGGGAGGACCCCTCCGCTCTCTGCTACATGGGGGACCAGTCCCCAGATGCTGCCCTCTTCCTTGGAAGTCCTCCCTAAGTCTCCTGACCAGGCTGCCAAGAGAAGAACTCGGACCACCCTTCCCTGGAGGTTCCGGGGGGGTGTCACAGGGAGCAGGGTTGAGAAGGGGCAGATGGGGGCACCAAGGGTCAGCAACCTCTGACTACAGGTCGTGGGGGACCTCCTCCCCTGCCCATCCTCCAAGAGAGCAGTTCTCACTGAGCACGAGGTGGGCGGGGAGGTCAGGGAAGGAAGGCGCTGTCAGCTGATGACCCAGGCAGCCGCTGCTGACCGGCAACTTGGCCCGAAGCAGTCAGCTGGGCAGGGAGGGGCGCTGCGAGGAGCCAGCCGGCTCCAGGCCTCCTGAGGTTCCACCCCACCCTGCCTCAACTTCCCCCCGCAAGGGGAGGTGGAGTGTGGGGACTGGGGTGTGTCTGCATGTTTTGCTTTGGTGGGAGTCCTAATTGGACCCAGCTGGGGAGCTGCTCCTCCTCCAGCCTCAGCCCTCCACTTCCCGCAGTCAGGCATGGGCACAGAAGAGCTGTGTCGCAGCAACTCGAATGTCAGAAGTCCCCACAAACTCAAACCAGAGACAGGGAGCTGCCCCCAGCCTTGGCTGCACCCTCGCCAGCCCTGGGCAGGAGCTGGGTCCAGGGGATGAGTCATCCCAGCCTTATTCTACCTTCATCCCCTCCGGGCCCCCCAAGTCTTACACTGCTCATATGACTGCACCTCCCACCACTGTTCAGCTGACACCCCTCTGTACCCACAACCCCCGTGCAGCTCATGTGGTCTGCCCAGTGGCCCCCCCAGAAGTCATATTCACAGCTCTGCACCCAGATTCCAACACACACATACACACACAGCTCCTCCCGATGCATTTGCAGCCCTCCCTGAGAGCCCCCAAGGGCCCCACAGGCACAGGCAAATCTGATTCCATCCAGTCCTGGGCAGTGGCAGAGCTTGGCTGTTTCTGGTCCAGTCCCGCAGCCAAGATGAGGAGGGATGGACACCATAGCACAGTGCTCTGGGTCAAAAAGCGCGCTTGGACACCCCAAACTGGGAGCCCGTTTTTGTCCTCTTGCACCCACCCTTCTGGGCTCCCCTCTTGCTCCTCCATTCCCTGGGTGCCTGGGGCTCCCTTCCCCTTCCCCAGCCTTGGCATGAGGCGGAAGAAGCTGGCTGCGGGCAGGCATGGTGCTGCCAGGGAAGACCCTCCACTCACAAAACAGCCTGGAGTGGCGGGAGAAAGTGGAGCCAGGGTGCGCGTGTGTGTGCGTGCACACGTGGCCACATGCAGAACACCCCAGAGCACTCAACACCACCTCTCCGTGGGCATGAGCAGGTCCAGCTTTGCCCGCACCCACCGCTTCTCTCTACACCCACCCAGAGCCCTCTGAGTCCTCATTCTGTGAAGGAGGCCAAAGAAGGGCCCGATGCTCCCTGTGACCTCGCAAGAGTGGGTCTTCCTGCCTGGAAATGCCCCCGATGCTCCCCGTGGCCCTGTCGGGCTTAAGGCCCTGCTGGCTGCTTCCTAGAGGGCAGTGGGCGGGTGGCTGAGTAATCCCTTGTGCCTGCAGGCAAGAGATGCCCACACAGGGCCTGGGGGAGGCAGAGGGAACTGAAACAAAGTCCTGGCCCAGGCCCCCGCTCTGCCAGCTGCCCCAGTTCCCCTGCGCCTTCCCTCCGGGGGAGTGGGGAAGCCGGCTGCACCCGTGCAGGGAGAGCCCCACGGGCTCCTGGCCAGCCCCTCCCCTCCTCCTCACCCAAGCTCCCCCTCCCCCACTCCCACCCAGAGCTCCTGCCCTGGGCCTAACAAGTGGCCCATTGTACCTCTGGGAGCCGGCAGGCACGGGCAGCCTGCAGGCGGGTGCCTGGTGTGGCCTGTTTCCTGGGTCCTTGAGCTCGCACCCAGCTGATCCTGACCCCCTCCCACAGCCGGCCCCTCCTCCCCTATCCCAGGGTCGAGCCAAGAGGGCATGGGCAGCCCGGCCTAGCAGGGCTTTCCCTTCCTTCCTCCTTCCCCACAGAGGACACGCAGAGGAGCAGCTGGCTCGCCCTGAGTCCTCCAACCTTAACCCAAGCATGCAGGGCCCACCCCGAAGCCTCCCTGCTGGGCTCAGCCTGGATGACTTCATCCCTGGCCACCTCCAGTCCCACATAGGGTCTTCCTCCCGGGGGACACGGGTGAGTGAGTCAGTAGGAAGGAGGGTGTCTTGGGGGTCCGGAGCTGGTTGGGACGCTAGCTAGTCAGGTGGGGGCAAGAGGATGAAAGGGATGGAGGGAGGGCTGAAGAGAGTTCTGGGGGGCCTCGCTGGTTTCCCACAAAATCATCAGGTGGGCCTGGGACCATCACCGAGGGGTATGGGCTGTGCCTAGTAGCCATCCCTCCCTCCCACCCTGCTGGGCCCTGAGCTGCCGCTCCTGGCCCCTCCCCGCAGGTGCCCGTGATCCGGAATGGTGGCTCCAACACCCTTAATTTCCAGTTCCACGACCCCGCGCCCAGGACTGTGTGCAATGGCTGCTACACACCAAGACAAGATGCTTCCCGGCACCCGGGTAGGTCTGCTCAGGAGCCTCATGCCGGAGATGGAGGGTCAGGGCCCTGCTATCTGGCACTGCCTTGTGTGGAGCGAGAGGGGCAGCAGCAGGAGATGGGGTTCTTGAGGCCATGAGGAGGTTCCTCAGAGGCCTCTGGGCTCACTGCGAGCCTCTCCCTGCGGAGCCTGCTGACTCTGCAAGAGACATCATCTGCCTGGGGAGAGCAGGCTGACGCATCCCCTCCCCTGCCCTCCAGCCCGGTGCCAGGGAAAGGAAGTGTGCAGGAGCCCTGGGCGCCGGGGGACGTCCTGCAGGGACTGGGGATGGAAGGGTGGAGGTGATGTGGGTATCTGTTGGCTTGGGAAGGGGTGGAGACTGTCCCATTCAGGCCCAACAGGCTGCCCAGCAGGAGTTTAGAGAGGCAGCTCTAGGTCCCGGTCCAGAGGTCCTGGGAACTCCTGGGTGCAGGCCAGCCCTGAATATGTCTCTCTTAAAGTGACATCTTTTATGCGGCATTCCCATGAGACAGGTGCTGTGTAAAGGAATTTATTCATTTAACAAACAAGAATCCAGCCTGGGCAACATAGCAAGACCCTGTCTCTGTCAGTCTGGGTGACACAGCAAGACCTTGTCACTTAAAACACACACACACTGGGAGGCCGAGGTGGGTGGATCACCTGAGGTCAGGAGTTCAAGACCAGCCTGGCCAACATGGCGGAACCCCGTCTCTACTAAAAATACAAAAATTAGCTGGGTGTGGTGGTGGGCGCCTGAAATCCCAGCTATTTGGGAAGTTGAGGCAGTAGAATCGCTTGAACCTGGGAGGTGGAGGTTGCAGTGAGCTAGGATCATGCCACTGAATTCCAGCCTGGGCAACAAGAGCAAAACTCAGTCTCAAAAATAAACAAACAAACAAACAAAAAACACCCACAAAATTATGGAACACCCAGAGCATGCTGGCCACTGTAAAAATCCTTTACAAGGCTCACCTCATTTAACCCCTTGATATCCTGACAAAGTAGGGGTGATGATGACTGATAGCATCCCCGTAAGGAATCCCGCCCACAAGACGTTCAGCCACCGAGGCTGAGCTGCAATTCACACCCTTGTCCATCTGGTCTTTTTTTTTTTTTTTTTTTTTTTGAGACGGAGTCTTGCTCTGTCGCCCAGGCTGGAGTGCAGTGGCTGGATTTCAGCTCACTGCAAGCTCCGCCTCCTGGGTTTCCGCCGTTCTCCTGCCTCAGCCTCCCGAGTAGCTGGGACTACAGGCGCCCACCACCTCGCCCGGCTAGTTTTTTGTATTTTTTAGTAGAGACGGGGTTTCACCGTGTTAGCCAGGATGGTCTCGATCTCCTGACCTCGTGATCCGCCCGTCTCGGCCTCCCAAAGTGCTGGGATTACAGGCTTGAGCCACCACGCCCGGCCGACTGTCCATCTGGTCTTAAAGCCTTTATACTGCTGCCCTAGCTACTTAGAGGCTAACAGTTATGGGTAAATTGAGGACTCAGTCACAACCATGTCTAGGGAATGGGTTTCTGACCTTCACTGAGAGCCTCTCGACTGTGGGTCAGGCACTGTGCTGGGTACAGTCACACACACTAGTTGTCACTGAATCCTTGTCACAATGAGCCTTGTTTTACAGAAGTGGAAACTGAGACACTGTGAGGGTGACTGATGTGCCCCAGGCCTTGGCAGCCAGTAGGTGGCAGAGCTGGGGTCTGAATTCAAGTCTGTCCCCTCCAAGCCCAGCATCTTTACTGCCACACCCCAGCTGGGATGTCCCCTGCATTCTCTACAAGTAATCATTTCCAGACCTTATTCTGAAAGCACTTAGGATAGTCCCAGGAAAGAAGGATGGGGGTAGGGCCAGGCACAGCATTCTTAAAATCCATTCAAATTCACTTAAACAAACAAACTGAGTCATCCACTCAAACAAACTAGGCGATGTTGAAACTTTGAACCCACAGAGATCCATGCTCTGAGGAGCTAAGGGACACACAGGTTCAGGTGGAGACCACTGCCTTTCACTAATGCTCTCCTGCACGCACCCGACAGACCCCACGTGTTATCAGACCTGGCCAGGCCCTGGGAGCAAGCCCTCTGCAAGCACAAAGATCCCTGCCTCCCAGCATGCCCAGAACTGGTCAGCCACGTGGACCAAGGACAGCAAGCGTCGGGACAAGCGCTGGGTCAAGTACGAGGGAATCGGGCCCGTGGATGAGAGCGGAATGCCTATTGCCCCGAGATCCGTGAGTCCAGGGCTGGGGGCCACAGAAAGATGGGGCCCAGGGATCTACAGGAAGCTCGACTTGTGTGCATTAAAGTGGGGGTGGGGCAATAAAGGCCACACCCAAACCATCTCAGACTAAGCAGGGGTTCAACCGTGGTGGAGTTCAGGGGCCGTAAACCTCATGAAGCTACGGACACCCTTGTGTGCCTGAGTTGCTCAAATGGTTTGTGCAGGGTACAGATCTAGAACTCCCATCAGTGTCTCAAAGGTAGAGAACCCCTGCTGTAAGGGCTGAGGCTGCGGGGCACCCTCTCTTAGTTTCATATCCCCAGGGCCTGTCACCACACTCATGAAATGGTTGCTGAATGAATGACTGACTGGCCGAATGAATGAGTCTTGTCTGAGCAGATCTCTCACTGTGGCAAGAGTGGAAGGATCCGGGGGTCCAGTTAGGACTGGGGATACCCTGCCCTTTTCCATCCACTTTCATGTCTTGACTCAGCTCCATTTTCTTTCTTTCTTTTTTTTCTGAGACAGAGTCTTGCTCTGTTGCCCAGGCTGGAGTGCAGTGGTGCAATCTCGGCTCACTGCAAGCTCCGCCTCCCAGGTTCACACCATTCTCCTGCCTCAGCCTCCCAAGTAGCTGGGACTACAGGCGCACACCACCACGCCCGGCTAATTTTTTGTATTTTTAGTAGAGACAGGGTTTCACCGTGTTAGCCAGGATGGTCTCAATCTTCTGACCTTGTGATCCGCCCGTCACAGCCTCCCAAAGTGCTGGGATTACAAGTGTGAGCCACCGCGCCCAGCGGCCAGCTCCATTTTCTCATCTGGAAATTGGAGATGGTAACATACCCTTCCTGCCTCCCAGGGCTGTTTTGAGGCTTGAATGAAGCAGGTGATGCGAAACACGCATCTCACTCCTACATTATTACTATCAATTTTGGCCCAGGTGCAGTGACTCACGCCTGTAATTCCAGCACTTTGGGAGGTCAAGGCAGGAGGATCACTTGAAACCAAAAGTTCCAGACCAGCCTGGGCAACATAGTGAGACCCTGTCTCTAAAAAAATAAAATAAAATTAGTTAGGCAAGATGGTGCACACCTGTAGTTCCAGCTACTCAGGAGGCTGAGGCAGGACGATTGTTTGAGCCTAGGAATTGGAGGCTGCAGTGAGCTATGATCATGCCACTTCACTCCAGCCTGTGTGACATAGTGAGACCCTGTCTCCCCCCAAAAGAAAAATGTTCTTTGTAGAAACACTAGACATAAAGAAAAGCAAAGAGAAAAACTGTAAATTGCCCAAATCTCATAACATCATTATTGCATACACTTCGATGGACTTCTTGCCATGTATATTACTTATATAGGATGTGTTACATGAAGCTATTGTTATTAAAGAGATCACAAGAGAAGTATTCCCCAGCTCACCTATCGGGGGTTCAGGGGTGGCCAGAGAAAGGACTCACTAGGGAGTCCTTTTGGGTGGCTTGCTATTGGGAGGGTGAATAAGCAGGGACAACTGACTTTGCATTTTCTGATCCCAGAGTGTTGACAGCCCCAGAGACTGGTACCGGAGAATGTTCCAGCAGATTCACCGGAAAATGCCAGGTAAGATACCCTTCCAGGGTCCTCGCCCTGCCAAAGTGGATTCTGGCCCCTGGGGCTTGGAGAGACAGGGAAAGAAAAGGGGACTTAGCTGCTCAACGGGTTCTTCTCCACCTCCCCCGAGGCTCTAATGAGTAGTCCTGAAAATAGGCTATCCCCTCCCTGTACTCGGAGCCAGCAGTGGTCTCTAGAGCATCCCCAGAAGGACATTGACCAGCCACTGTCCCCCAGTGTCCTCTGAGGGGACTGAGAAACCATTCCTTTCCTAAAGTCCCTCTCTGATTTCCCTGCCAGGCTGGAATGCCACTGTTAGTGGTCATTCCCTTACTGGAAGCATTGTTTTCTTCCACAACTCAAAATGCAGCCAACCCCAGGGGTGCCTAGGAGCTGGCTCTGAGGTCACCCATCCATTCAGCGAGTCCTTGACCATCTACTGAGCATGGACCACGTGCTGAGCACTACCGTAGGTGCCAAAGATCAAAGGAAGTCACACATTAGACACACACCTTTGACATGGCAGATGGTGGAAAGGGCTAGGGAAAAATAAAGCCAGACCAGGGGAGTGCCCCAAGCAGGGAGGCTGCTGCTTCACCCAGGAGGGGCCAGGAAGGCACTTGTAAGTGGCGTTTGATCAGACCACGGAGGGAGTGAAGGAGTCAGCCTGGCAGAGCTGGGGGGAGGATTCCAGCAAAGGGGGCTCCGAAGACCCAGAGGTAGAAGCATGTTCTGGACTGGCAAGGAGAGCCTGGCCTGGAGCGAGGAGCATGTGGTGGGAGATGGAGTCAGAGAGGTGGTGGGGTCAGGGCATGTGGGGCCTCGTGGGCCATTACAAGGACTTCAGCTTTTACGGTGCAAATGAGGAGGAGCCACTGAACAGAAGAGTGCCATGCTTTGACAGGTAATGGCTGAAAAGGTTGTGCCTGGCTGAGGGGTGGGGAAGGAGTGGTGGAAGCAGGGTGACCAGTTCCCTTGCCTGGTAAGGGCTAGGGAGAAAAAGCCGCCTTTACAACTTTGCTTTAATCTAGGCGAGAGGTAATCGTGTGTTAGACCAGGGTGGTAGCAGTGGCCCTGGTGGGACAGGGTGAGACTATGAATACATTGCAGTCACTGGAATTTGCTGATGGATTGGACATGGCATGGAAGAGACAGTCAAGGATGGTTTAAACCTCAGCAAGTTGAAGATGGGAGTTGCCATTTGTCAAAACAGGAAAGACTATAGGAGGAGCAGGTTTAAGAGGCATTCACAGGCTGGGTGCAGTGGCTCACGCCTGTAATCCTAGCACTTTGGGAGGCTGAGGTGGGTGGATTGCCTGAGCTCAGGAGTTCGAGACCAGCCTGAGCAACACAGTGAAACCCTGTCTCTACTAAAAAAAACCACGAAAAATTAGCCGGGTGTGGCGGCATGCACCTGTAATCCCAGCTACTCGGGAAGCTGAGGCAGGAGAATTGCTTGAACCTGGGAGGCGGAGGTTGCAGTGAGCTGAGACCATGCCACTTCACTCCAGCCTGGGCGACTGGGCAAGACTCTGTCTCAAAAAAAAGAAAAAAAGAAAAGAGGTGTTCAGTTTTAGACACGTGTTCCCTCTGAGTGAAGAGATTGAGTGAGCGGATGAATATCCAAGTCCAGTTCATGGGACAAGGTCTAAAACTGCAGATGGAAATACCTGGGACTCATTCAAAAGAGATTTTGGGACCAGCCTGGCCAACATGGCGAAACCCTGCCTCTATCAAAAATACCAAAATTAGCTGGGAGTGGTGGTGTGCACCTGTAATCCTAGCCACTCCGGAGGCTAAGGCAGGATAATTGCTTGAAGGCAGAGGTTGCAGTGAGCTGAGATCACCCCACAGCACTCCAGCATGGGCGACTCAGTCTCAAAAAAAAAAAAGAGAGATTTTGATTTAAAGTTTCCCCAGTAATTCTAGTGTGCAGCCAAGATTGTGAATCATGGGAATAGATGGTGTTTTAAAAGCCTTAAGACTAGCTGGGTGCGGTGGCGCACAGCTATGGTCTCAGCTATTTGGGAGGCTGAGGAATTCAAGTCCACCTTGGGGAACATAGCATGATCCCATCTCTGGAAAACAACAATCCATAAGTCTAGACAAGATCACCTAGGGAGATAGAGAGACAAACAGACCCAGGACTGAGCCCCCACGCACCTGGATGCTTAGAAGTTTGAGAAATGAGGCGGAACCAATAAGGCAACTGAGAAGGTAGAGCCAGGGAGGTAGGAGGAAAACGGAGAGATCTCCCTGGGGCCAAGTGGAAAGGGAATTCCAAAAGGAGAATGTGACCGGTGGTGACAAATGCAGCTGATGGGTTGAGTAAGATGAAGACAGAATTGACCGTCAGATTTGGCAATGTGGAGGTCACCAGCATCCTTGATAAGAGTGGGTAGATGCGCAGTGGTGAGCAGAAGTCTGTTTAGGGAGACGGGGAGTAGGGGGATTGGAGATGGTGGAGGTCTTTATGGTCACTGATTACAGTTTGCTATGGGGGAAAGCAGACAAATCCAGGAGTCGGAGGAGGGTGTGGGGTCCAGTGAGGGGTGATGTGGCTGGCGTTTAGGCAGGCGCCGTTGTAGCGTGTGTGTGTGCGCGCGCGCGCGCGCCCTGGGGAGCAGTGGGTCAGTAGCTCTTCCCAGGAAGCAATTCCCAGGCACCTTGAGGAGCTAGGAGTGGGTCTGGGCAAATGGGGAAGGAAAGCGTTTGGAAGAGGGTGCAAGTCGAGTTTCCCCAGCCTGAGTGGCGAGGGCAAGTCCACAAAGGTCGGGAGAGGGTGTGTGTGGGAACGGGGAGGGAGGAGCAGGAGGGCTTGGGCAAGGCGGCTGCCCTCTTGGCTCGCTTAGGCCCTAAGCCTGCCAGAGGCATTTCAAGCCCTCCAGAGAGCTGCCCTCCTAATTCCTTCCCTCCCTTGGGACATTCTTCAGGCCCTGACTCAGCCCTCAGCCCCCTGCTCTAGGGATGTTGGGAGCGGCTGTGATTGCCTCCCAGGGCACCCTGCCCTCGCTTTCTGCCCCGTCCCATGACCTGGTCCCTTTTGCTCCTGCAGACCTGCAGCTGGACTGGACCTTCGAGGAGCCACCCAGAGGTGAGTGGATGCGGGCCCACCTGCCTGCCATAGCTCTGCACCTGTGTCCGTCCCTCCCTGCGGCTGGGACCTGCAGCCCCGCCTGGCTTTGGGGCTTTCCAGTTGGCTCCGTTCAACTTGAGAGGTTTTTATAACTCATTTCCAGAGCACTTCAAATCCCCCGGTAGGTGGTAGTTAACAGCCTCAGCTTGTACCGGGAATGGGCGCCTTGCCACTCCTTGGCCGGGATTTCTCTGGGCCTCCCTTTCCTCATCTATAAGATGAGATCATCACCTACCGGAGTTGCTTTGAAGATTTAGTAAACGTTGTAAAGTTCTGGGGGCAACGCCCACGTTCAGTGTCCCTGAGCACCAACCACTCTGTCCCCACCATCCACCCAGGAGCAAGGGGGTGGTGCTGAAACCCTAAATGATCACCCAGGCACCCTCAGCCCCAGTTCTGGCCTGTCTCCTCCCACCTTCAATGGTTTCCTCGTGTACCTCCTCTGCAGACCCCAGGCATCTAGGAGCCCAGCAAAGACCTGCCCACAGGCCCGGCCCGGCAGCATCTTCCAGTGGGTGAGCATAGTGGGGAGGGGCCGAGGGCTGCGGAGAGGCGCGGCCCATGAGCCCCCATGGGATGGGCGCCCCCTCGTGGCCACAGCCGGCACAGCCTCGTCTGGGTCTCCACCACCCCCATAGACTCTCTTCTCTACAGGGCCAAAGGGGATGGGAGGGCAGGAGTGGACCTGGCACCCGCTCCTGGTCAGGAACACCTGTGATGCGTTTGTGGTCAGCAGCAGGAACTCTTGCCCCAAAGATCCCACCGGTCTTGTGAGACAGGGAGCGGGGCGGCCAGGGCAGCCATGGACAGAACTGTTGAGGGGAACTTGGACCTGGGGCTGTCCTCTTTGAAACCTGAGAGAAAACAGGGGATATGGAAGTACCCAAGTTCCTGCCTGATAGCACAGAGAGAGGAGCCCCTTGGAGGGATAAGGATGACATTCCTTTCCTCTGTACAAACCACAGGCCCCGCCGGGCTGCTGGAGCCCTGGCGGGGTCAGCACCACCGTGGGAATCAGGATCTTTGCTCTCAGAGTTAAATCCTTGAGTTTCTTATTCCCTTGCAGGGAGGGACTCATCTCATTAGCATGGCTGAAACTGGCCTGTGGCTCTGGGCAACGCTGATAAGGTTCAGAGGCAAAGGGCTCAAGATTTGGACACTGAGTTCTGGGTTTAAGCCTGTGCACTGCCACTAGCCATGTGACTGTGGGCACCTCACTCAATCTGAGCCTCTGTGTCCCCATCTTTTAAGTGGTGATGCCCAGAGGGTTCAGTGTGATCATGTATGTATCATGCATCAGGTTTTGCACATAGCAAGTCTGCACAACATTAGTAATATACAGGCTTAATTATAATTACAGCTTCCTTAGGTTAGGAATGACACATTCCATTCTCACCGTCACTTTTATTATTGCCAAAATCAGAATGGAGTCATAATTACAGCCAACAAATCCCAACCCTTGGTCAGATATTGCATTATTTGATAAGCCGGATGCAGCGGTTCCTCTCGGTGGAAACTTTCAAACAGAGACTGGAATGTTCCATGTAAGCCAGCCAGGAATGGGGCCCTGGAGGGGAGCTAAGGCAGATGTGACCATGCTGTACTGCAGTGGCTGGGGTAGTCTCACAGATGGAGTCACTGAATCCAGCACCCTCATGGAACTAGGCCCAGCGAGCAGAAATAACTTGCCCAGAGCTGCAGGGCAGGGCTGCCTCTGGCTTTCCTTGCCCGTGGGTGTACAATCACTCAGCCACAGCACCCAGAAAGACCAGCTTCTTCAAAGCTGAACAGATGCACATAGCCACAGTCATGGGGCCAGACCAAACACACGTGCAGGATTTAGCAAAATGGCCCGCAGGAGAGGGTCGGTCCACACCTGGAGCAAATATATGTGTGAGGCCTTCTCCCGGGCACCTCACACATGTTCTCTCACCAAATCATTTCTATATTACAGGTTCTGAGCCTGAGGCTCTGAGGGATCAGTAACTTGTTCAAAGGTCACACATCCACTAAACAATGGAGCTAGAAGTTAAGCTTGGAGCTCACACACTTCCACAGTTTAGCCTTGCTTCCAGAGTAAGGGCAGGGCAGTCAGAGGCAGAGCAGACCCCACAGCAGGGACAAGGGCAGGGCGAGAGGGCTGTGTGCTGGCTTCTGCCTCAGTCTCCCTAAAAGGAAGCTGAAGAGATGTCCTTCCCTTTCTTCAGAAGAAGCTGGGACCACTCTGAAGAGTTACCTAGAAGCACCTTCAGCTACAGACCTGGAGCGTTCTCCACTGTGCTGCAGCCCCCAAATCAGGTAGCCCACCCAGCGTGTTCCCTGGTCAACCCCGGCTGTATGCTGTATGGCCAAGCCCCTGTGCCACGATGTCCTTTCAGCTGGAATCCCTTGGAGGACACCGTGGGCCCACGGGAAGGGCAGGGGCCTGTAAGCCTGCATTTTGAGCCTGGCCAGTGTCCCAGTAGCCCTCTTCACAAGCTGATGCCCACCCACCTCCACGCAGGTGCCCAGACGCCGAGAAAAAGGAGACAATGTCTGGACAGAAGAGTCCTGGAACCAGTTTCTGCAGGAACTAGAGACTGGGCAGAGGGTGAGTGCTGGCTGGCCCTCGGGGTGTGCACGCACCCTCAGCTGATACATTTTGGAAAGTGAGCTCACCTGCTCTGACACACCCTTTCTACCCTTCAGCCCAAGAAACCGCTGGTGGACGACCCTGGTGAGAAGCCCTCCCAGCCCATTGAGGTGAGTGCTGCAGGGTGCTGGGGACAGCAGCCTGATAAACCAGGGAGATTAGGGTTTTCCCCGCCCCAGTGACCATGGGCATGGGCCACCAACTAAGAGCTCTCTCTCCAGTCCCACATGGTTTATTTCTGTAATGCCAGCACTCGGGACAGTGGCTGGCATACAGGAGGCGCTCAGTAAACGTGTTAAATAAATGCGCTGGCCAAAGCAGGAGCAGAGAAGGGAGTGGTCAGTGTGCACTGGGATTATCAGGAAATATTCTTGGAGGTGGAGCTGGACCCTTGAGAAGCTCTGAGGACCTGATCCGGTGGAGACCCATAGCAGAGGCTGGCAGGAAGCAGCGTGAGGGTGGGGGCGCCAGTCCCTGGGGTGGCGGGGGAACTTGGATGGGCACAGCGAAGCCAGGCCTTGGAGGGCGGGAGAAGATGGGAGAGGAAATGGGGAGCCCCACTGGTGCTGGAAGAGAGACATAATTTGGCAGAAACTGGTAGAGCTGCGGAATGGCGGGATCAGGAAGCGCGAAGGCACTCCGGGGGCTTGCAGGGCAGGTGAGAGGCCGCGGCGGGGATGCCCTCTTGGCACCCCGGGCCACACCTCCCGGCAGGA